AACCCTAGAAAATACATTTAAATAAGACCCCTAAAATTTCAAATGAGATTTTCAAAGGACCCACAGGATTGAAGTGCTCAGCTCCCACTTAGTCTAGAGCTCTAGTCCAACCTATATCCATCCATAAACAGCTTCATTAGTTCTAATGTAATTTCTAGTATTTCTTGGATGGTGCAAGAATGTCTGCAAATCACTATACTTGTCTAGAAATTTGGAATGAAAATCACCTGCTTTTGTCAGATACTTCCAGATCTAGGAATAAAGTGTTGGATCATGTTAATAACACAACTAAACATTATCAGATGATAGTGGAATACGGATACAGGGAATACACTCAGTGTCATTCTGAGTGGCTTAATGAGGCAACAGCTCTAGCACTGGTTAGCTAATGATACACACCAGGAAACTGCCTCCTCCTCTTCACTCGAGCAAATTTTGCTGACCATAACATACACAGAGCAGCATGTCTCAAACAGTCTGTGAAAAATATGCTTTTTATGCTGTGCCTGTATTCCTTTTTGGACAAATTATTCAATCTCATGAATTAGTAAGCTACTCTCTTGCCTTGTTTTCCTTTTCATGCAACATTGCAGAAAATTGCAGTAATTCCTCTATTTTATTTTTACAGAGTTGATGAGAAAAAAAAAGTCACAACAAATTGAGATGAACACAGAATAATTTTCTTCAATTTTTCCTAACAACTCCATGTGTGTACACATAGAATACTATATAGAAGAGAATAAAATCTGTATTATATAGAGTAGGATCCAACAGGGCTTTTCTGAGAGAATATGGAAATTATTGTGCTATTTGAGCATCATAGGGATGAATACAACAGAGACCTGCCTGGTGTGTCCAGAAACATTATGATCCTTGTTTTACAGACAAGTATTTAGCGACCTGCTCTACATCACCCAGTAAGCCTATAATAAAATCCTGACTGAAAAGAGTCTCCTGTAATGAAGTCCAGTCTTTTGGGTGTTATCTCAAATGAAGTTCGTTCTTCAATGTTAACTTTGGCAATATGAACATAATTAACACGTTCATCAGTTTCTTAGCATCTTTCCATTGAGACATATTTAAATAATATTAATAAATAGGGACACCACTTCTTGTAAGCATACATGGCATCAAATATCAATTAATGATGTGCTGGCTTTTAGATTCATTATAAATGTATCATTAATAATCATAGGAAGCACAGACAAAGAAAAAGAAAATGAAGACCTAGTCAGATATATTGATGAAGCAAGTAAAATAGTTTTATATAAGGAATAAATAATACACCCCTCTAAGTTAAAAAAAAAAAGTTATTTTAACTTTAAAATAAATTGAAATATTATTCTGTTATTAAAACCTGTGTTACCAGTACTAAACAAAATGCTTTCTCTTTCTAACTGGAAACTAGTTTGCATTTTCCCTTGTTCTAGATTGCAGTTTTCATAAAACATAAACTTCAGAAGCTTCTATTCAGTGGAAGGAACCTTCTTCTAGGTGTTGCCTGTATGTTAAAATGCTAATAAAACTCAGTGTTACAAATAAAAGCAACATCATAAATTGGAGCAGAGTGCCCTCAGTGGGAATGATGCCTGAGATGCGAACACATGAAGCACCTGAAAGCAGCATCTCATATTAAAACATGAATAAAATCTCCGTGAAAAACATTCCCATACCATGCAACTGCACAGATACAGGGTCATATTTACAGCTGCTACCTGCTGTTGAAGGGATTTTCTCCTGGGATGATATGAGTGCTGTCCTTCCCCACTAAGAGCTTGATTCGATCATAGAATGACTTCACAGCTGGTGAGCCAGAATGACTCTGTTGGATGATGTCAAGAGGATCACGTGAGCCGCGGCACAGCAGGCTGTTTTGACAAGTAGACTGGAGGCAGCAGTCTGGGTCTAGGCAGTCAACCAAGCCATCTGAAAGGTAAGAAACATCAGGATTCAGCCGGCTGCACAGTGCTATCAGGCAATAATATCTAATGGACATCTTGAGGCACTGGGAAAAAATGGTAATGCTTACTCTTCGTAACACCTCTACGCCATGAAACTGGTAATTGAACCAATAATGCAATGAGGATGAGGCTTTCTCAAGTACACTGGTTAAAGACCATTATTGCTACAATTAGTTTAAACCAGTGTTAGAAGAGAATCAATCTCAAAGAAATCTGTTAAGGGTTGAAATTAGGAAGAAGGAATAGCAGAAGGAGTACAGGATTTTTTATTTGTTTGTTGTTGTTTGTTTGGTTTTCTTTTTTTTTTTTTTTTAAATCTTTCCAACTGTTTTGTTTTACAAAGTTTTTAGATTTCCTTGCTGGGCTATAAGAGTCTTGGGAATTATGCTGTTTAGTTTCCTTTGTTCCATTAGGGCAGATGAGAGGAGGAGATGGGGGTGACAGAGTAAGTTCTCCTTACCTAAGTAAAATAAAAATTACATCGTACCCATTTTGGCAATTAATAGGAAAGTGCTGCTGGAACTCCCACCTCCCATAAATATCTGAATCAGAACTTGTTCACATGCTTGGACAAGGAAGGATCACTCACAAAGCTGGTGGGTTCAGTCATCGTATTACATATTAGGTTGTCTGTCAAGAATATTTAGGAAGTATTTTTTTTAAACATTAGAATTTACACATCAGAAATAAAATAGAATACTCAATGCAGAGACTGATCTGTATACTTAGATAAATCACAAGTGACTATTTATAGCACATACAGTACCAACTTCTAGCATCATCCTTTCCTTTGCTATCATCATTTATCTGAAATACATCACAAGTGACTATTTATAGCACATACAGTAACAACTTCTAGCATCATCCTTTCCTTTGCTGTCATCATTTATCTGAAATATGTTCTCTCAATGGAGTTCTACTGTAATTTAGAAATTAATAACAATTTACTTTAAAATATCATCATCTCTAACAATTTAGAAACATTTTTTCATCTACTCTGGCAAGAATCAGGCATTCAATCTGCAATCTACTTAGATCTGTAAACTTTCAGAGACTCCCAAAGGCATATTAATCTAATTTTTTAATACAAATATGGTCTGGGCACATACTGAATATCATACACAAGCCAGAACATTCCAGTAGGTTAGTTAGCAAAAGTACCTTAGAGTAAGTCATGACTCATGTATTTTCAAGATTTTCAAATGCACAACAGGCCAGCATTACCCTAAACGGCGGTAACTGGAAAAACAACAACAAAAGAAAAAACAACCCAAACCTATAAAAAGCTTTCTTATTTTACAATTAGCCTTGTATTTCCAATGGATTGTGTGTGCCTGAAATGACTGTTTTTGATTTAAAACCAAAATTGCCAAGGTATGCTGATAATGTTTTATTCAGCCCTCTAAGGAGATTTAAGTTAGACAAACTACCTTGTTGGAAAAGCTACACATTGCTTTAAGGTCAGTCGCCTATTCACATTCAGAGCTCCATTTGTTTTGAAATCCTTTCCAATGTGGTGGTAGGAATTTTCTTTTTTACCACAGTCCCTTTTCCACCCAGTTTATATAATCGTTGTAAGGACACCATTAGCTTCAGATTATAACCCAAGGCAGTTTTCTGATTAAGCTCCCAGAACTTTTTCTCAGCATCCTTTGTTCTTTCTTGGTTTGTGACACCTCTACGACAACGAACTTAAAGCTGTCCACTTAGTCTGCTCAGTTCTTTTATTCAGACAACCACCAGTCGAGAGAATCCTATCAACACATTAGAAATAACAGAAGCAAAACACAGGATATAAATTACTCCCTTTGACAAATTTACATTTTCCTGTTGAAGCTGCAGCGCATTTTTGCTGTATCTGTTATGAGAGGTGAGCATATGTTATGTCAGTAATGACCTCATCACGCAGCAGATTATGGGATGCTGTGACCGAACACTTCTGATGACACCATGAACTTTCAATTGGCATATCAATCTCTCAGCGTCCCGTCAGTCATGCGAATCACATCTTTATGCTCGCAAGCCCCCTTGGATATAGTTTGACATTGCAATCTTCAGTAAATTACCCTGTCACTGCCAATCTCACCGTTATCTCACAAACAATCAAGCAGGCAATCAAACTGCTCTGAATTGCCAGTTCAGGACCTGGGAGGCTAGAAACGTCTCCATTCAATACCAGGGAGAAACCTGTGTATGATTCCTTTCATGTAGGAAGGTTTTTATGCAGTTATGTGAATTCAGACTTGCACACTTTCAGATACAAGAATATTTAGAAAAGACAGACGTGTACTGTAACATAAACATACACATGATTTACTGGTTTGGAACATTATTATAATATATGGCTCTATTTCCCCATACTAATTTATTCCCAGATCGCAGGATTCGGGAGTTAGGATGTTTTTACCTTATGCCAACTAGTTGATCCAGCTTGTGGCAACAGCAGAACTGAGGTAGGGATCTGTTTGGCATATGCAGCCACAACCTGCTGCACTGGGCACTGCTGTTTGGTGTCGAAGGCTCATACACTGCTATACTGTTTGCATTCATAGCTGCATTGCTGCTATTAGTTGCTCTGAAATCTCTGATGCTATGTGTGAAAGAGTATTGATTTCTGTCTGAATGCAATTGTTTCTAGTTCATGTTTTCCTAATTTGCTATCCAGACGTATTATCACAGAACGGCTGAGGCTGGCAGGGACCTCTGGAGGTCATCCAGTCCAAGCCCCTGCTCAAGCAAGGCTACCAAAAGCCAATTGCCCAGGACCATGCCCAGATGGCTTCTGAGTATCTCCAAGGACAGAGACTCCACAATCTCTCTGGGCAATCTGCTCCAGTGCTTGGTCACTCTCACAACAAAAAAGTCTTTCCCAACATACATGTGTGCCTGGGGTTGTTCCTCCCCAGTTGCAGGGCCTTGCACTTCATGAGGTTCCTGTCAGCCCATTTCTCCAGCCATATTGTGGCATTACATATGAAATGAAGTAAATTGTTACAGAATCATTTAGTTGCATTAAACTCACTTGATTAAAACAAGGGATAGAAAAAAACGTACCTTCTGTAAGAGAAAACTCTGCCATAAGCACGAATTTTAATTAGAATTCAGTACTTTGTATTTTAATATATATTTCAGAGCTTGTCGTCTTCCAGATTTCCTCCGGCACACTGAATTATTTATATGGTTAATTCAATGACAAACCCCTCCCCATTAGCTTCACCAAGATATCACTGCTTTTCATACCATACACATCGGAGTTAAAGTGGCCAGTTAGCAGCTCCCTGAAACTCTGTATGCTAAAGGGAAGGGACTGTGGGGGGAGTTAAGACAGTGCTGAACCTCCTTCAACAATTTGAGACCAAAAGAAGTCCTGACTTGACCTTAAATGAGATGAAAGAAATAGCAATTTTTTTATCTGATTTAAACTGGCAGCACAGGATTATCTCTCCATTGCTTTTCGTGGTTCTTCTGAATCCCCAAATCTGTTCAGAAAGCAATCAAGTGATATGGTACTTCTGCTAATGGATACACACCTTTCTTTACTTTCTCTGAACTGTTCCACAGGCTTTTTGGCAGAGTTAGCTATACAGCAGAAAGAAAATTTTGAAGTATTACATACAAGTAAAATAATCTGCTTGTGTAGGTCATGTTTCAAGATGGCTTTATTATTGTGTTCCCCTCGAACACCGTTACAAGGCCTAAAAAGCACTCAGTAGAAATAGTGATATATTTTACTGCTAATGTCTTTAGAACCTCCTATCCTCAGTTTTCCTTCACCACTGAATGTATTTCTCATCACATTCGGGTGACTGGATTCCAGAATTGTGCTACACCTTTCTTTGGAAAGTTGATGCTTGAGCTATTGTTTTGTTGTTGTGTGGTTTTTTTTTGTGTGTGTGTTTGGTTTTTTTTTTTTATCTCCTATGAGTAAATTATCTTTAATTTCCACTCTACTTCAAATACTTGCAGGTCGTGCTTCAGGTTCAATTCATGATGCACGTTACAATGAGTCAACTTTGACCTGACATCCAGCTGCTTGAGAAAATGCTTTCTGTACCCAACAGGGGACAATTTAGTTGCCAAAAGAAAACCTCTGAGCACATAATCAGTAGAGGGCATCCTTACACTTCGCTAGCGTCAGGAGCTGGTGACTTTCAGAGTAATTCCTGGAAATTTTTCTTTTTCCAATAAACATTTCAGACTGATGATTAAAATGGAGGCAGGGGAGTGGGGGGAACAGCAGCTACTATGAGTCCTGAGGGCAAAAGAGCCTTTGATCACTCTGAGGGCAAATTAGTTAATTTATCATGATCCGATTTTAATTATGTGTAGTATTAATATACCCAAGGTGAAAGAATTAGAGATGCTCTATCAGATTATCAAAAGAGTAGGCCTTCTCTCTGCCAACACAGAAATATTTTAATTGAGCTCTGAAACTGCATGCAGAACTGTTTCCACAGACTGGATATTCCACAGCCCAGCAGAAGTTTTAGCTAATATTTAACCCAAATTTTCACTTTTGTAGCTTCATCAAATTACTGTTAGCTATATTGGCATACATAGTTCAAAAGAATTCCTCAGAAGTTCCTGGTGCTAAACAAGAAAGGAAATGCTTCTAATCCTGTTCCAGCCCTATTCCTCAATTAGCCAGACTGGAAAGCCTCTGTAAACTCTCAGGATATCCATGATACCACTGGCTTTTCTAACAAACTGGGAGCACAACAGTATTTTCAGAACCATGAACCTAAACCAAAGCTGTCTTTCAGAAAAACTGGATTGTAAATCCCAAATTGTGGCAAAGCAGAATAAACCTGGCTTCTGCGTAAGCTGAGTGTGCCTCTGAATGCCCGAAAAGTTCCCTAACGAGGTTCTGAAGTACCCTGGAATATGACATTGGTAGAGCAACAGCCCCACTTCCCTTGCCCACTCGGGATCCCTGTGCTGCCCAGAGCTCTGATAATTGGGAAA